AATTATCGGTTGCCTAGAAATTTTCCTCAAAATCTCTTTGGAATTTCACTCGAAATTTAATTTTATCGGTATTCTTTTCAGAAATATCTTGAAATCATCTGCAGGATGCACTAGAAATTTTCCGCAGTATTTTCTTTGAATTCTCCCCAGATATATTTTGGATCTGTCCGAAGAATTCAATATCCTTGAGGTTCTTCTCGGAATATTAAAGAAGTTTTTTTTTTCGAAGGAAACATTGGAACTGAAATTCTCCTAAAGTTTCAGAAGAATTTCCGTTCAATTCTCCAGAATTTTTTTCCAAGAATGAGCTTTAAATTATCCTCGTAATTTCCTTGAAATTTTCCTCAACATCCCTTTGGAATTACACTCAAAATTTGATTCTCTCAGTATTCTTTTCGAAATTATGTTGGAACTATCTGCAGGATTCACTACAAATAATTCGCAGAATTTTCATAGAATCATCCCCAGAAATCTTTTCTTCTGGAACTGTCCTCAGAATTCAATACCCTTGAGATTCTTCTCAGAAGTCAAGTTTAAGTTGTCCGTCCATTCACCAAAACGTTGTAGTTTTTCTACCAGAAATGTTGGATAAGTTGCTCCTCCATACACCAGAACTGTGCAATTACTACATCAGGAATTTTCAATTTAGGTTGCCCCTCTATGCAGCAGATTGTTGCAAATCTTACACCAGAAATATTCAATACAAACTTGCCCCCAGAAAATTTCAATTGACCAGAACGGTGCAAATTTCCCACCGTTAATGTTCAATAAAAATTGCTTCTCCAATCTTCTGATTGGTGCAGATTTCCGTATTCCATTTTCCACCAGACATTTTCAATCAGTTCAACAGATTTTCCATCAAAAAAAGCTCATAGATTTTCAGTGAAGCAGCTTCCTTCCAATCATCAAAATGGTTCTAATTTTACACCAGAAATTATTATTAAAGTTTGTTTCTCTATTCAGCAGAAGGATGCCAATTTAATACCAACATTTTTCCGAATAGCTTGTCCATAACGGTGCAGATTTTCTACCAGAAATTTTCAATAAAGCTTAATTTTAAATAAAGTTTGTACCTTCATTTACCAGACCAGTGCAAGTTTTCCACCAGAAATTTTCTGTTCATTTCATTTATCAGAGCGATGCAAATTTTGCACCATTAATTTTCAATAAAGCATGTTCCTCCATTCACCAGAACAGTGCACCAAAAATTGTCAGTGAAGTTTGTTTCACTATGCACCTTTGATTAGTCCCTCCATGCACCACATTGATGATATTTTTACACCAGAAATATTGAATCTTCAATTTACCACTGCCACGAAGGTGAATTTTTTCAACCTTAATTTTGCCCTCTTCTTTTAATCCTCCATGAACCATCTTTAAAACAATTACGCCAGAATTTTTTTGTATGCACCACTTTGACCAAAATATTTCATTAAAGTTTGTTCCTTCATGCACTTTTGTGGTGCAATTTTCAGGCACCATCTCAAAGGAATTGACGCAATAAAAAGATTTCTGTGCCCTTATATTATGAAATGAAGTTAATTTACCTTCAAATCAAGTTATCAAGAAATCTAGTTATTTTATATTCTAATTTTGTACATTTGAAAATAAAAATCTTATTTATAAAAGGGGCGCAATTGCCCCCTCCTTGCCCCACCCTGTGCACGCCAGTGCTCCAAGGATGCTTCGAACTTCAGAAAAGTCCACAATCTCTAGGAAGTTCAAACAATTGAAAATGCTAGTTACGGTAAATTCAGAACTCCTCTGCCGATTTCGGTTTTTTTTTTTGTAATCGGGAACCGCCATTTTGAAATTCAAATTCAGTCAGACATGGTTTTCTGATTCCTACATTTCACTCCGATTCCAAAAATACCAATATTGTGGTGTCCTTTGGTTTGTTTTTTCCGTCGATCTTGTTTTCCGTGCTGAGCACCAATGCTACCGACGTGCCAGGAAGGCAGCTCCTACACCTGGACCCTACCTATCGACCCATCAACTCATGAACCGGGGACCAACGGCTTTACTTCCCATCCGAAGGAAGGCGTGATCAGAGATGTTATGCCTCAGAACATCCCGGCGGCGCCGACTGGTATTGAACCCAGGCCTGCTGGGGTGAGAGGTAATCACGCTTACCACTACACCACCGGCGCCGTTATATTGTGGTGTCATTGACAATATTTCAAAAATGTCATTTTACGAAGTAAACCCCAAATAACGAGCATTTCAAACGCAGTGCATTCATTTGCTAGTCAAAATTTCAAAAATTGTTCAATTTTTGTCAAAGCTGGGACTTAGATTGAGCAAACTATACAGAACAACTTCGTCCAAGACCGCAAATTGATGCACCTTCTGTGCAAAAAGTTATTTGTAGTGGTGAGCAGGGGGTTTTTAAGTTGACCCACCCTTGTGCACAGTGATGGATGGCTGTCCGAAAATTTCCTTTTGCCCTTTGATGCAAAGATTTTATCCCTTTCGTGCCAACCCCACATAATTGAGTTAGGGATGTTTTCAAATCTGCTTCAGCGTATTTCTCGTGGTCTGAATTTTTCGATTTTTATATAATTATCAAGAAGATGAAAGGCAGCAGTTTCTCTGAAAAATTGCGAAAATTGACAGTTCAAGTTACAATCAAAATAATGCTTATGAACTTCTCCCGTCACGAAAAGAGGATCGAAGTAGGTGGCGGTGAATATTTGACGTGTTGTTTTTTCTTGCTGATTTTTTTTTTTTCGTTCGCGAATGAAAAAAGCGTTTTAATAAGTTTGTGCTAAATTCAAGCTAATAGCGAATTCGTTTATTATCGGGGTTAACACCAGTTCCAACCCAGTGCGAAACCGAACTTTTTGTCAGTGTGAACCTCAACCTGAGCTAGGTTTTAAAAACAAACGAGCAAACTGACGTTTGTCAGAAAACAAGCAGACCCTATCTTGATACCCGATCCAGGTTGGAACTGAATAATAAACGAATTCGCTATAAGTTTCTATGAAGATATTAACGCAAGAGGAAAAATCACTATCGGACAGTTGTAATATGACGGAAGAAGCAAACAAAGATAAGTTTAGTTCTTTTCGAGGGATCTATCATTTGATGTTCTGTTTATAGTCATGAGTGCGTGTGTGTATATGTATGTACGTGTGCGTGTCGTGTGCATGTGTGTGTGTTTTATGTACCTATTATAAATCGCTACAATCAGCATTAGTTTACCAAAACGATCCCTGCCGCAAGCCTTTCCCCACATCCAACATTCCAGTGATTTCTCGTGGATTCCCATTCACTATTTGACCTGCTTTCAGACACGGCCAGCGCTGTTATTGCTAAATATTAGATCTCCAGTTTTTACACATTGAGGATGAATGTTACTCCCAAACATCATCTCAGGTCATCATTTCAAAGGGGCGTAATTGCTTTTGTAAACAATGGCTTCTGACGTCGATTTCTCGCAAATAAACGCTCACCCCTCCAAGGTAAAAATGCTAGCTAGTAGAGGAAACATTCTTCTACCTGTTGGTGCTATTAATTTTTATGAGTGAGCTTTTATTCGCGAGAAATCGATGGCTAAACCGTGGCCGGTAAATCATGCTCATGCTAATGAACTTTTCCAGCCACGGAAGGGCTGTTACAGAAGCGCATGTTTATTTTATTTTTGCGCTCAGTTAGTTTTGATTAACGAAAAATCCTGCCAAAAACTAAACAGCACTGTATTTAATTCTGATACGTCCATAGCACAATTTTCCCTTACATTACATTTATACAATTATGATCCCACCACTACATGCTGTGGACGAGTAGAGCACCTAAATTCCTTGTAGATACCGTAGTATCCCGAGAGCACCTATTCGAAAGGTTGCACCTCCAAATGCACTCAATGTCTGATGCTCTGGGGCCATAGAACCTACTCGAACGAAAATAAGTGCTTAGCTATAGGTACCTTCCTACCCCGCGATGTACCTTAGGGTGGGTCAAGTTTGTAGGATGGAGCACAACCTCCTATTCTTCACTTCTATTCCGATGTGCATTGAGGTCAATGTGGTACAGAGAGAGGTGAAGCAGATCGTGAAATATTGTTGTATTAGTAAACCAAAAAATCAACGTAAACGCAAGTAGTGACGTCACTAATTGCTTGTATTGTACAGGGGTTTTACTCACACAACTTAACCGATTGCTTCACCTCGGTAATCCAACTCATTGCATTGAGGTCCCCAGCAACGGTGTCAAATTTGAACGAATTTGGCTATGATCTGGATTTGCGGGAGAATTTTAAATTCTGTATGGGAAAACGTATGGAAATCGAAACGAACCTATTCACTGGCTTGTCAAATATTGCTCACATTTCGCCAAATCTCGGAAATAGATTGGGAATACAACTGCAAATTGATTAGATTTCTGAGAAAAAAAAGTTATTATTATATTAATTTAGACCTATTGCTCCGTGTATATACGAGCTGGTAGGTACGTGTGAAACACTTGGTCTCAAGTGAAAGATTAGTTACTTTTTGTACAAATATCAAATCGGTTCGCAGACTTCGATAAAGTTGTTCTTTATAGTATTCTCAATCTCCGGGATTTGATGAAATTTGCGCAGAATTGAAAGAGCAGTGGGGAACAGAGCATTTAAAGTTGTCCCACACTAATATACATACATATAGGTATTGAGAGAGAAAGTCAATGTTGAAGCAGGAAATTAGCGAACACTCAACTTACCTACCCTCGTTCGTCGGGTTCTGTTTCACATTGGTGCTAAAAATGCACATTCAATTAGCGCTCTGCCTCCCTCTGCTACTGCTGCTGCTGCTGTAATATGCTCTGGATATAAGCTCTTCAGTTTTAATTATAGAATTAACGCTTTGTCAGCTCAAATTGAAGCACACGTTGACGACGGTAGACGGGGCTGGTGGGATTAACGATTCATCTTTCACTATCCATCCAGAATGAATGCAATCAACTCGATTATTAAATCCCTACGATAATGAAACACGCTTCTACCTTCTCATTCGTTGCAGATAACTTCAAATTTAGACGTATTTATAAGACGCTTTAACGAAATTCAATACTGGGTCGTAACGGAGATTGTGTCGACGTCCAATCTGACGAAGCGGATGTCTCTGGTGAAGAAGTTCATCAAACTGGCTGCTTTGTAAGTATTAAACGACCGGAACAAAAAGACATTTAATAACTTTGCCATCGTAAAATTCGTCCTTTCCACTTCTATCGGCAGCTGCAAGGAGTACCAGAATCTGAACGCGTTCTTCGCCATCGTAATGGGTCTATCAAATATGGCTGTGTCTAGGCTAAACCAAACCTGGGACAAACTCCCGTCAAAGTTCCGAAAGCTATTCTCCGAATACGAGGCACTGATCGATCCCAGCCGGAATCACCGGGCCTACCGGTGAGTACCTAGCGAGCATTTTTACATACTATTTATTGCCGAATTACCGCCATCGTTACTGAAAATTGAAAACCTTCTGCATATCCATCATCATCATCGTCATCGTAACCGTGCCTGAGACATTATATGCTCAAAATAGATCGATTTGAAGCCGGATAATAATGGGAAGTCAAGGGGGGACAAATTGACTTCAGGATTTTCCATTAACCTGTTGAAGAACGTGTATGCAAAAAAAAAAAAATGCGGGTGATCAGTTTTCACAAGAAGAAGTTGACTCCCACCTAACTTGACAGACAGCCGACTGACGTGATTGATGTTGTTGGGTGTCACCGACCGCAGCATCCCCCTCGAGGGCAAAGGAACTGTGGGTGTGTGCGTGTTTGCGTATTCGACACAAGAGATTCAATATTAACGCTTCCAACACTGTCGAGCGCCACCCACCGAGCGGTTAAGGGTAGGAAAAGCTTTGGATGTTGGCATACATTATCGGTTCAAGTTTTGCGGGCTTTGAAATTTGGGGGCTTTTCTTCGAAAAGGTGCTGGAAGGTGGTGTCTGAGACGAAATATGATACCTTTCAGTACTTGACAAGGATTCACACAGTTGGTTTTGTTGGTTGGATGCCGGCATCGGATAACGATGTAAGGTCTCAATTGATTGGACTGGAGCATTGGCGTAAGTATGGATGAATCCAAGGGTGGGGGGGGGGCTTACAAGCTTCCTTCGACAAGCTCTCCCGATCTTGCCCCGCTCACCAATCAGTGCTGATAATTTCTTCTACACTCAACTTAGCTGAAAGTTAAGACAACCTTAACAGATGAACCAACTACCTGCATGAATTTGTATTTTGACGTAACAACATTCTCTTGATCAAGGTTGCCCTGAGTTTCGAAGTCAACATTATTTGGTTTTCTTCATTTGTTGCTAGATGCCCGCCTGTGTTGTTGTCAATATTCGTTTTCATCTTGTAATTTTGAGGATCAAATGAAAAATACTTATTTTCATTTCCCGCAAATATAGCGCTGTGGATCACTTCAATTTTGTGTTGGATAATCAAGCACTGGTGAATATCAACAGACGCATATTCGTTGATGTGTAATGAACTCACGGCGAATGAGAACGACCCAAATTTGAGTTTAGTTCACTCATAATCGCCGAAAGTGCAGGAACTCAGCAATGAGTAAATTTGTCTCATGGTTTCCTGTGGAAAACCTAAAAAATCTGCCGGAAAATGAGGAAATTGACAAAAAATTATTCAGTCTCAGAGTAGTACCAATAGACTGAGTGAATCCAATCTTTACTTTTCTCAAATTCGGGAATTTTTCCCTGGAAAATCCTGGAAAAACATGAGGCAAATTTACTCATTGCTGAGTTCCTGCACTTCATGTGATTTATGAGTTGACTAAACTCATATTTGTTTGCGACCGAGTTTGTTTACAATTTGCTCTAAAACCGCACTCCCCCCCCCCTCCCGCGACCTCCTCGCCTATATAGAGACAAAGCTGTATCACCATTTATATACCCACCATGCACTAGACCGTCTTCATAAAAGCACAGTGAGATTAAATGACAAGGAGAGAGTAGTAAAAACATTAACTCACTGATCATCACTGTTGGGCATTTTTAAGTGGGAAGTGAGAATAATGCTCCCTCATTTTCCTGTTCTTGCCTAGGGGCAATCCAGCTGCACTCAAAGTTAATATTTTTGCTCAGAGTAAATTTGAGTAACTCATAATTACTCAAAAATGATCTAAGTAGTCTGGTCTTATATCCATCAATAAATACAAACTAAAGTGTAAATCAACATTATGTGGCAAAGGAGGAAGAGAATTGGAATTATTTTATTTATTCTTGTTCAATCTATTAAATCTATTGAAATCATTAACAGCATGAATCAGACTGATAAGCGGAATCTAAGAACTTTGCTTTATGTAAAGGCGAACAAGGTAAAAAATGCCATATCCGAAGATGGCCTAACATGAAAAATGTATCCGTATCACCCGGCAAGACGTGATTTATGAAACTTTATGTGCTTGGAAAAGTAGAGGTTCTGCATTTCAACACATTACAAACTTCAGTATCTCAAATAAACATGAATATGTAGAGAATTCAAAAAGGATGGAAGCTATATCTGGTTTGATCGAAACATACAATTTTAAATATAAATATAGGATGACAATGTATTGCTTTTCTATTGATCTCGATTATTATCTATTGACAAGGATTATTTTTCTAGAATATACTTCTCAGAATGCCCAAGTATTAGTGCAGAACTATGAGGTTGCTGCCTAAAAGTTCTACCCTAATTCTTGGACATTCAGACAAAACTCAGAGAATACTATTTCAAAGCAGTAGTCGTAACTTTCATACCTCTCGAAGATTCAAACTGCGGTCAATTTAACCAAAAGTGTACTTCAGCTAATTGCTCATATTTTGAATCTGCAAATGCTATGGACAACGTCGACCGATAACAGGCTGCACTAGATTCGGATGAAAACGGCTTACAAAGGATTGGCACAAAGGATTGGCACGAAGAACTAGGTAGGTCATGGGATCTATGGATGGCTATCCAGTGTAAACCACCTTTTGATCTCTTTATTTATACAGGTATTCAAATAAGATACCCACATTCATCAGGATTCACCATTCGATAATGCGAAGCAACAGAATTTAGAAATATTTATCACCGTTGAACGTCTTTGTTTGACAGTTCAGGAATAAACACAAAAAGGTTGCTGTGTTACCATGCATCACATGTTGAGCAACTCGAGTTACTCAGCGTTGCTCAAAATTAACTCAAATATTACTCATGATCAAAAGCTGTCTTGCCCCCAGGTTCTTGCTAAAAGTTGTTGAGTTCAGAACATAGGAAACATTTTGAAGAAAACGTTGGATTTTCATTTTCCTTGCAACAAATAAATATGTGGGTGCTATTACGTAACAATGTCGAAAAATATCCGTTTATCTTCAAAAATTCCATTTCTTAACATGCAAATTAAAGCCACTTTCACTTTTTTTATGATCCATCGGCAATATCAATTCTCTTTTACATACGCGTCATTGTTTACGATGCTTAGTAAACCTCAAAACTGGCACAACTCACAATTGACAAGCTCGCGAGAATTTTACTGTCAAAACAAATATCTTTTCAACGTTATAACGTTTCATGCGAAAAATCTTAAATTTTTGAATTGCTCCGAAAAATTGCAAGGACCATCATGGAACCGACAAATCAGTGCGAAACCGAACTTTTTGTAAGTGTAAACATCAACCTGAGCTGGGTTTTAAAAGCAAACGATCAAACTGACGTTTGTCCGAAAACAAGCAGATGCAATCTTGATACCCGATCCAGGTTGGAACTGAATAATAAACGAATTTGCTATTAATTTTAGTGAAGATCTATTGAAATACATTGCATTTCCTTACGGACTTCACCGTAACGATTTGAAGTTTTCTTTGTTGATGGATACCAATGGTTGCTTTGATTCCTAGCCACAATTCCAATATTTAGAGGGGAATTCCCATTTACGCAAGGATTTTTAATTGGTTTTGCTTTTTACGGATCCCTTGATACTTGGGCTTCGGTAATGTGGATACGATATGCGGTCAGCATCCTTAAGGCCGGCGCACAATGCATACGTTTTCGGGTTTTTTGACAGATAATGCATGCGCTAACTGTCAAAAAACCTGAAAACGTATCTATTGTGCGCCGGCCTTTATTCTTGGAGCTCAAGCATCACGGTATCCGAAAAAAATAATAACTACAAAATCTCTATCCATGAATAAGCATTCGTGACTGCAGGTAGTACGTGTTCATGCAGATATGAATTCTCACAATAATAATTACTGGTTATGATACGATTGTATAACGCAGGATAAGACTTTTTCCTTGATACATCACAGCTATCACCTCATCCGTGATTTTGGAAAGGGAATGACCGTCATAACCGTATTTATGCTCGAAATGAGATGACGGTCAATTTATATGTTTGTTTATTTTTCCTCGGTGATATGATGGTAACACATGGCAGATGTTAGTGATATTGCGAATGAGTGAGAAAAGCAAAACAACGATATCTCACGGTTGTTGTGTCATACTGGTGAGACGTTTTACGGAGAGAGGGTTCTCGGTTGCTTTGATTGTTAACCGTAGGAATCCGTTTTGTCAATCTAAAGGCTGTCAGTACCGTGATGCAACTCAGCACTGGTTTTATCACGTAATAAGAAAGTATATTGTTATCCTCAAATTAACGATTTGACCTAGAAATGTTCTTAATTACAAAGTACAAAGTGTAGAAATTTTGTTCATCGGAAGAAGCAATATTAGTAGTCCGAAAATCTCCATACTGCAAAACCGGTTCATCCACTGATAAATTTAAATGTATAATTTCCCCCCAAACTGGCAACCCCGCTTAAAGATGGTCTGTTATCACCCAGAAAATTCCCCCGTCTCAGGCCGACCATGTTGCAAAAGCAGATTAGAATCCAAATTTAATTTACCTTTCCTATTATAACGATAGGCTGAGTGTGCTGTAATAAAGCCTCCCTCTCCATTTTCTTCTCGGTAATCTTCAACATGAAAGGAAACCCCAAGAATGAAGAAGAATGAGAAGACGAAAATCCGATCCCACAACCGAACCATCCAATCGACTCGATTTCGCCGGCATTTGTCGGGCCTTCTCGAAAAAACCACCCCCATCCCCTCCCCATCAAATCTTGAGAGTTGAGCGAAAGTGAAAGATCAAGTGATAACAATTTAATCTCCTTTCGGATCCCTTTCTCACCTCTCCCGCCCCTCACTTCGCCCTTGTCCCTGTACTGGAGAGGCAGCGATTGGAATCTGCAGTATTCCGTTCTCCCATATGTCACATCGTTGCTTGGTCGGTTGGTCGCCTACCCACCTCCCACAACTAGGATCTTCATCAAAAGTTTTCAATTGAAGCTCTGGTCCGTTGTCCTTCCGGGAGAAGATGATAAGAAAAAGCGTAATGCGGTCTTGGGAATATTCTAATGATGATGGTGGTAATGGGGGCAATATGGACGTTGGGCACACTGAATATAATACTTAAAAAAAATTCCATCCACAGAATGTCGGTCGGCAAGCTGCAACCGCCGGTGATCCCGTTCATGCCCCTGCTGCTCAAGGACATGACATTCGCCCACGAGGGGAACAAAACCAGTTTGGATGGGTTGGTGAATTTCGAAAAGATGCACATGATGGCACAAACGATGCGAACCGTTCGGTACTGTCGATCCAGGCACTTGGGTAAGTTTCTAGCAGCGATGGCAACACTGCATCTTAGTACCCCTACTAATGACGATGAATCACTTCTGGTTTCAGTATTGGATCCTCCCTCGCCGAAGAACGAAAACGAAATTCGCCAGTACATCAGCTGCTTCCGGACCATCGACAACCAAAGAGTGCTGAATGCCATGTCCCAGAAGGTGGAACCCCGGCGGTCGTAAGGTGATGCGAAACTGAAAGAATGAGCACAGTCAAACAATAATTTGGTAGATTTTATGTAGCGGTAGATAGTAGCATATCCAGATGCTGTTTCGTCGTGTTCTCTGACTTCACTGAGAGACAGGGGGATTCTTCCGGTTTTTGGAGGGATTCGTGATTACTATTTCTTCGACGATTAGTTAGGAAGTGTGTTCTAGATATGTGTACTTTCTCGAATTTCAGAGTATGTGTGTGTGTAGATGTGCGGTGTATGTATGTGTGTGTGTGTGTGTAATTAGTATTATTTATAGCAAAGTAAGTGATGTTTTCTATGATTGACTTCGTAACGAAAGAGATACAAAGTATTTTATTTATACATGAAGGCAGTACGTTGACTTTATAGATAACTTTATCTTAGTATGACGCAGCTAATGATCCAGTATTTGTAGAACTTTTATTATTCGAATCATAATCACACACATGCACACACTTTTAAAGCAATTATTTTCGTTGTCGACTATATTATTTTAAGATTTATGTTACATCTTGTTCACAACTTTTTTTTGGCAGTATTTATTTCTGTTGATAATACTTTGAATAAACTTTTTTGTTTTGTACTAATTTCCAGTCTTTTTTTTTTTTTTTTTTTTTCATTTTGGTTCCCAACGCCATTCATTTTCAAATCACTTCCAATTTTAGGAACCTTCAACTGCAATCAATCCAACCGATCAACATTTGAACGGTGAACCTATGAAGACAATCAGAGGTGCAAATTTATTCAGTTTGAAAATCAACTTTAGCGTCTGCAATGTGTAACTTGAAACATGGTAACTAGCACCTGAGCAGGAGAAAATAACTTATAAATACTAAATACTCTGTTCCTGATACCAAGATTTGGTTTTGATCACCCTGACATAAGAGGTAAAATACTAAACAATTGCATACAAAATAATTTCTAAATAACGAAAACAGATATTTGGATCAGTGCTGTCAACAATGTCGATTGACGTAAGATACTGGTCTAGCACTGAATTTCACTTCCGACTCTGATATTCGTAGTAAGCTTGATATCAGGCGGTACGACTTTGATATTACGAATATCACTAGGGAAAAGTCTCAATAAATCAACTTGTTTGTATAACCGTTGAATCGTTTTAATATTACTGATGTGTTTCAAAGATCGGTGCTCGATTACTGGCATTTGTGGCAGAACTTTGAATATCAGTGGTCCCTTTACGATGTCAATGTCATTTGCGCACTGACATTGAGGCGAAAGGTATCGATATTCTAACTGTGTGAACTGATACTGACATCAGTTGGCTAGTGAAATTCAGCATTTTAAGACCAACAATTGAAATGGCCTTAACTCCATTTTGTAAACAAACCTTGTGTAACCGTTCACGAATTTTCGTTGAGGTTTTCGTAAAACTCAGTGGCTTAAGCGCCACTCTCGGTTAGGAGAGACCACTGGTCGTGTTTGAAATTTGCCCGATTTATGAGACCTTATCTCAGAGAACCTCTTGAACGGTTTCCGATTACTAATGGCACAACTAGCTTTATCAAAGGTAAAACGCCAAGTCCTGTAGAACCGCAGATATTATCGGAACGAAAGAATTACTCTGACTTACCCAGAACATGGACGAAACGGAAAGAGAAAGAAGGAATTCTTACTCAACTGAGCGGTAATCGAAGGAAAAACTGAACTTAAGATAGCGAGTGTCTTTTATTCCAGGGAAAAACATTTTAAAACGTAAAAACTAATCTTCGATCTTCATTCAAAACTATTATTGAGTTCATTTATTCGGGTTGGACTTCTGGATGAGTGTACGGAAAAAAGAGCAAATCATGGCCATGAATAAAAACATGCTCTAACATACCTGCGCAGGTTTTTCGATGCGAAGAACGACGGCTCGATGATGGCTGACGGTGGGGACTCGACGACTCGATGATGGCGACGGAAGAAGATCTTCCAGTTAGCGTGGCGATGGCGGCGAGGCGTGATGGCGCAGCACCTGAGCTGCAGTATGGCGAGCAGCGATGAAGGTGACCCGTGCGCAGTATGGCCGAACTAGAGTTGCAGAGAGAGTGGCGGCTGGACGGAAGGCTTCCGATTTAATACGTCGAGAGCTGAGCATCGACCGTAGTCGTGCTTTCCCGGGAGATTCGCCCCTCAGAGAAAAGAGGGCCAACTTACCACCGCACGGCTTCGCGTACTAAGCTTCCGCTATGACCGCCCGGGATGAAATGAAACCCACCCTTCTCCTTGGATTGAATCCGGACCGTGGTACGCTCTTGGCTACGCACTCAAACGGTCCGCGCTCTCGGAAAGAATGGTCCACAAGAGGTTGTAGCGGAAAAGGGACCTCGTCGACGGTTGATTGGCGACCGTCGGAAAAATTTCACTCCGAGGAATAGCGAACTTCACTCTTCTCCGTTTAGCTACCTTTGAACAGGCGGGCCTTCGCTTGGCGCACGAGTCTGATGGTCCGTTTCACACGGACGACGGAATAGATGCCACTTAGCAGAACCCCTTGTCCGGCCTTGCGATAGCCGAACCGAAGATTAAAATCCAGCCCGTACAAAAAAAGCGCAAAGCGCTGGAAATCCAACGCGAACTCACATTAATTAAATAATTACAATATAAAACTAAATTCAATTATTACCTTTTTTGTACAAAATTCACTAAACAAAACGAACAGACTACGCGGTATTCAAAAAAACTACCTTAGCTACACTGTACAAAGAAAGAAAACGTCTTAATAAAACTTCTGAAAATAAAACTCACTCACTAAGTTTAACTACCTTTTAAGGCAAGGCTAAAGGCACAAACAATTTTTAACGAGAACTTTATTCGCGCACTTCTGTTCACCAGCCGATTCGAAAGCGAAATGGACGAGTCAGAGTACCTTTCGCGGGGAAGAAAGTTCCTAATGACATTCTTCTTTAGAAATTAAGGTTGTCTTTTAAAAGCGATTCTTTTATTCAAAAATTGCGCCAAACTAATCGAATGGCGAAGTATTCCATGACGCCTTCCGCAAGCCTGTGCAATAAAAGCTACTATCTATGAAGATGAGCTTTTTATAGCAAAAGTTTTATCCAGGACACCTAACCATAAATAACGCGTAACTTCGATATATAACTTTATGAAACGCACGAAATATTTCACTACTGAATGAAATACAAATTGAAATTTAAATAATGAAATGAATTTTATTTTAAATTTAGTTGAACTTAATCGATAAAATATTTACAGAAAAAAAAACCGCACAGCGTTACACTTGTAAGGCAATTTTCTCGTGAACCGAAACCTTCATTCGCAAACCTAAACCACAATGGGGTAGAGGAGAATTTCCCCTACCTGTTCATTATGTTGGTTTGCCTTTGCGAGCTTCGGTTCGCGAGAAAATGGCCTTACAAGGTTTGTTTACATAATGGAGTTAAGGCCATTTCAATTGTTGGTCTTGATTTTGTAGATATTGATATTTATCAGCAATGATTTGGATACCAAAAGAATACCTGTGTGGTATCGTTTTTGTATTGCATTTGCTTAATTTGGCATCGGAATGATATTGTGAAATTTTTTTTTTTGGTATTATTCATTGGTATTTTATCTCGCATGTCAGCCTACTCAATACCAATTTAAGGTATTGAGCTATTCGTTCCTGCTCGGGCAGGAGTAACTCGTTGCGCCACTGATGCTTCCATTCAGCGGAAGCGATGCTTAGATGAAAGTTTTGCCTCCCGAAGCAATAGAAAAGAACACACAAGATGAAGGGTGCTTTAATTAGTTCGCTTCACTCGACTTCAGGCAATGTAGAGTTTCCCTACCGACTATGATGCGATGGACTGGAGAATGGCACAAAAGATATTCCCTAAGGGTTTCTTCTATCAGGAGTGTCTTCGGTACGTTAATTAACGACTTTTAGTTTTTTGTTATAGAGGACACCCTCCGAACAATATTAGCTGCAGACCAGTTTATACCTACAGGAAAAAAAATAGGTGCATAAGTAAATTTGGTTAGCAGTTGGGCAAATACTCTCTTTCATCTACATGTCGATAAAGGCATTCTGTATAGTGCATATTCATTAGAGATATGTTAGACCTCTCCGTCCCATTACATGGACGACCGTCCATACGTATTTGAAAAGAATGGTAGAGTAAAGCGGGGCAAGAGTACGCAAGAAAATAAGATGCTTCCTGATAATGAGACCAAATGGAAGCATGCTTCTTTACCATCAAACTGCATTAATATTATTTTCTAAATTTTAAAAGAACTCTGAGAAAAATACGTATTTTCCAATACTACCCAAGTAACAATTCAAGCTGAACAATAGAACCTCAATAAGTTAGCTGATCCAAAGATTGAACAAGTCTTATTTAAGCTAAAAACAACTCCACAAATCAGCAATGCATATTTTGATAGCTTGATTTGTTAAATGTCCTCAGTGTCTGTGTCACTCGTTGCATTTTCGGCATTTTAGTTCTTCTAAATTCTCTGCCTATCTTTCTAATAGCAGTGGCAGCAGTAGAGGCAATGAAAAGGAGATTTTTAGGAACAGTTCCAGGTTGATGTGGGCTGCGACGACGTTGGAAGTATACATTTGTAATCCTGTGTTTTGTCTGTTATATTGCACTGAAGTTTCAGACCACATTCCAAAAATACTACTCAATTATGGCACTAAAATTGCATCCAAATGGCCATCAAAATAAATCACGCACTTGTGTCCACATTGTGTTGACTGCACTTGAAAATGACAGGAATGTTTTACTGTCACCAGTTGTTTTTTTACAATTCTGCATTGCTGTATAATACTCTTCCGGTTGCTGTTATTCAACTTAAATTTGACGTGCTTCAAGTTAATGATCATACCTTTTGCCACACATATGCTTAAATGGTCCAGTAGGTATGGTTGACGCTTGTTAATCAGCGACTGCCGGTTCGAATCCCAAAATGCAAAGGTATTTTTGTAAATCCAATTAGTCAGCAACAAGTTAAAGCAGTTTCATATGAATTCATAAGATATGAAGCGGTCTTCCATTATTATTTTTGAAATAAAACTAGAGGGCTGAACAAGGGTTAAAAAAGACTGTTATGTATTGGCTTTAAAAGGCTATAATGTATATAACTGTTAAGCTTTCAACTGATTAACATCACCAGATTTAGATATTTAAAAGCTGAACAAAGTTTAACGTGGTCTATATACAGCAATTATTCGATCTAAGGTTGAATTAAAATCGATTAAACAACACTTGTTAAGCATAAAATTGTTACCTGGGTAATTAGACTGGTTCACATTTAAATGGGGGAAATTTTTATCATTGTTTCCAACGGGCCAACCCCTAGATTTGTGCCATTAGGTGAGAAAAACACTCTCTGAAAATTTCAACTCATTTGGATGTAACACGAGCTGGCGCTTTTGGTTTAAAATTTATATGGAGATATTGGTTGAAATGTATGGAGAATTTAATTAGAGAATTCGGGCATAGAACTGG